GAAATGTGTTGTCAGATTCATTTTGTGTTGTCAGATTGGTTGTGTGTTGTCAGATTCATTGTGTGTTGTCAGATTGGTTGTGTGTTGTCAGATTGGTTGTGTGTAGTCAGACCGGTTGTGTGTTGTCAGATTGGTTGTGTGTTGTCAGACTAGTTGTGTTTTGTCAGTCCGGTTGTGTGTAGTCAGACCGGTTGTGTGTTTGTGGTTGTGCCCCTGCTGTGGCTGGATCTATAATATTGCACACTGGTAAAAACAGAAAGCTCCCGGTGTCGGTCCGTCGGCTTAACGAGGCCAAAGTGACGAAAAAGAAAAAATGCTACATATCCCAAATATATTTCACCTGAAATCTCTGTCATATAACACGTATAACGATCGGTATGGAAATAAATAACTCTCAACCATTTAAGTCTACACAGCGATCTTTACAGTATGTACACGCACACATCCGTGGACCCCGGCGGGGTCCAAACGGATGGATGAACATTCAGTCCAGCACCGGTCAGCAGAAGGGGAACAAGTGTAACACAAACCCAACCCCCTTTTCCACGATTCAAGCTTTTTGCTTTGTATCATTTTGTGTTGGAGCCTGTTTTTCCTCCCAGTAAAAACACACCGGGGACACCGTGTTCTCCCTCTGCCTCCCGGAGCCGTTTAAATCAGGGATTTTCAAACATTGAGGGCCTCTCAGACATGAAGATAAAGTCCCACTTATCCCACTTCACCTTTTAAATGCTTCAGAGGCAAACTCACACTGTAATTCGTCATTCGTGTTTCCGCTCATCTTCTCACTTTCAGGTCGACAAAAGCCCCCTGAAAATAACTCACACACATTGTGAACACTTTGCAATTTATGCAGAATCATCAATAATTTATGATGTCCCCCATTAATAAACATTAATCACCTGTCTAAAAAAGCTAGAATCCGACAGAGAAACACATAAACTAAAGTTCCAAATACCTTTTTCTAGGAATAAATTGAATTCAGTGAGAGCTGATGGGTATATAAGACCATAAATAGCTTTTTTTTTATGCTGCCATCATTTTAACAAACATGTATTGTTTTTTTTAAAGTTCCCATAAAGAGCTCAATGTTTTCACCAAAGTCCATTAATTTCCCTTAAAGAACGCTCACCACTTATGAAATAGGAACATACAAAGTCGGGCTAAAATTTCAATATACTCCATCTACCGAACCAGAACACACTTAAAAGATTTAGCTTGAGTTAAAAGAGTCAAAGAGAAGATAAGAAGGCAGAAACGAGTGGTGGGATGAGGAGGGGGTGGTTTTTTTTCTGGGTTTGAGTCCCCAGAGTTCAGCCTTTTGAAAACCCCTGGTCTAAATCCTTTAATGTTTTGGCACATTCAGTAACTGACATTAGTGTCACATCAAGTGTTTAAACGGTCGCAACAGAAGGAGGGAACTACTGTGGATTTTCCGCCGCAAGCTAGTGCAAAAACAATGAGGTCACACAGTTGATTTACTACAGTATCAGGAGGATGGATTTGGCTTTTGCGGACTCTCCTCAGGCCTCTCACCGTCAAACCACGTCCCAGGTTTGTGCTTCCAGTCTAAGTGAGAGGAGCAAAACTCAGACAACTTAAAGAGGGATTTCCCCCCAAAACTGTGCAGTTTTGTGTCAATTCTCAAACTTCCAGTGGCCGCTGAAGGAAAAAATGGAGAGTTTGAGATCAAAGGATTCAAGACAAGGTTTTTAACAGAGATTTTTCCTTTTTAAATTCTAATCAAGTCAGAAATTAGATATTATTACCATCAATTAAATGTTTGTGGGTGCAATGACTGCTTAGTGTACAATATGATGTATTTGATAATACTATACGATTCGTCCCATCTATTCTGTCCTTTTCTTGAAATAAACTGTGTTTTATTAGGTTTTATTATAAGGTTTAATTGCTGCTTCTATCAGTGTGAAATGATTTAGACTCTATTCAAAACTTTCTTTCTACTTTTGCATGAAAAATTTGTCCTACATGATCGAGCAAAGCTGCACTTTTGGGTTCACTATTTCACATTTTGGAATATCTATGAAAAACACGTTCATATTTAAGCTTTTTCAACTATTTAAACTTTTGTGTCAATCTTGGAAAATACATTTTTTTGGAGATACAATGTAAACCTATTTAACCTGAGTGGAATTATCCAAAATCTCGGTTTAATTTAAAACTGCAAACCTTCCTGTTGACGTGTCGTCGGATACCTTCAGGTTCTGCTCATTTTTGTCCACCAACTTAAAATGGAAGCACTCTCAGGATGTCCTGATGGCCTCTGAGAGCAGAGGGAACACCGTACTGCTGTTTTAAGACATGAGAATCTCATCTTTTAATGCGTTGACGGTTCCTCAGCAACAGAAAATGAACTTTGTGCACATCGTTTGCATTTTTTGGATCAGAGATGAGAGGTTCTTCTTCTTCTTCTTCTTCTTCTTCTTCAGTTCAGACACGAGCAGCAAAATTAAAGAAGCTCAGTGAGGCCAGAGAGAGGCACTGAGCGTTTTCTCCCCAAATCCGCCTCTAAAAAGATCAACCCAGTCTTTGAGACATTCGAGCAGAGTCCGGTTCGTTTTGGTGGAAACTACGTGATGATCCTACTTTGGTCTTCACAGATCGTGAGCGATCAGGTCCATCCTGCAGGGATTCCTACAAGTCGAGCAAAAATAAATCTGGGGGAGCACGAGTGTCACCCAGCAGCAGCAGCAGAGGTGGGAAACAGCGCCACCAGCAGGTGGGTCAGAGGTACTGCAAGCGGATGGAAAGATAAAGGGATTGTTGCCGTGGACTGTACAAAGGTTCGGTTGTTGCTTTGATGCTGCATGCCCTGTTTTCCTGCTTTGGGTTCCCTCTTTGGGGGGGGGGAGTGTCCGGTGGGGGTATTAAGGCCTTGGATGGCCCAGAGGCCACACTGAAAGGGAAAACACCACCGGGTCTCACACAGAGAAAACCAACCGCCAAGCAGGACGCATCTAAAAACACCAAGTCCCTCAATAAGATCTGTTTTGTGTTGTGAAGACAAGAAGTACATTCCCCTCTGACACCCCAACCTGCCCCACCCCCCAAGCAGACTCTCACCTGAATAAAGAAACAGCTCATCCAAATGGCAGACATTGTTTTGGCGTCCTTTCTTTTGTCGGAAATGATCGTCGGGAACCATCAATCAATGGATGTCAACAGGAGTTAATCTATTCAGATCCAGTACAAAATGGTTTGGTAGCTTCAGAGCTGTGAACAACACCATTAAAACAGCTGAAAAGGTGAGTTTATACTGTGAATTTGGCAGGTTGGCACTAAAAAAACGACTACAGATGTTTTGGGGGCCAGTCTGGAGCCCCTGGTACCCCAAAGGCCACCTGAGGATCAACCATTTCCACCCTTTGGCCAAACCAGATCAGTACTGGCTTCACTTTAAGGAGTTTTTGGGCACAACTCAAGGTTTCGAATTTTGACCAAAACTGAATATTACTACTGTTGACTACTAAAAGGTCTCCTGATCATCAGATTTAATAATATTCCTGCATTAGATGTCACAAATGAAAAGAAGAAGTTTTGCTGCTATTCTGTTCAAACACTCTGATTGCTACTTCCTGGATCACCTGACGCCTAAAACCAATCAGAGGTTTGATTTTTTTAATACTGTATCAGCCCATTTGGCAGCCTTTAAGGTTGAGTGGTACATTTAACCATCATTTATGCAAATGTCCAAACAATCGAGGCTTTGGATGCGTCGTTTTAGAACTATTCAAAATTCACGATAAATTTGATCAGTAAATGATGGTCAGAGGAATAAACTGAACTGATTTGTTTAAAAAAACGATTCATTTCCTGTTTCCACCTTCACGCCAACAGCCAATCAGGACATCCGGCCAGATGCCTAGCAGCTGTTTCTCTCTCCGTTTGGATGAACTGATCTTTCCGGCTCCCTCTGCTCTTTGACGGGTTTTGGACTGTGGCGGCCCCGGAGGAGCAGAGGCCGAGGTGAGAGCCGAACCGGGCCGAACCGGGCCAAACTGGGCCAGGCCACCCTCGGACTGGATCTGCAGTGTGTCCTGAGCTTGGACTGTGTGTGGTTTTGAAAAGCGGAGGGAGGCAGTTCCCGTTACACGAGATTAATTTAAGGCTTACAATATTTTTCGCTTATCCTTCCTTGTCATTTTTTAAACGTTTAAATGATGCATCCTATAAAAGTGTTTCTGTAAAAGAGTCATGCTACAGAACCTTTTTGCTCCCCGGGTCTCGCTTGGCCTGATTGGTCCACTCCTCCTGGAAACTCTCATTCTCCCTAAACTCTAGCACATCTCTACATCCCAAATATATGAACTGAGGCCAAAACCCTTTAAAAGGCTTTATCCTGTCCAGCTTTCGCTTTGTCCAGAGATCACGGTGGTCCAGACCGGGTCTTCACTTTGGGCCCAGCAGCCCCCCGCTGCCCTCCTTGGTGCTGCCGGTTCGGCCCCAGCAGCCCGCCGCGATGCTCATGCTCCTCTGGGTGGGGGGGGCCGCCCCCCCCCCCCGCTCCCCCCCGCCCCCCCCCCGGCCCCGGGTGGCCCCCGGGCCGCCCCCCCGGGCCGGCCCCCCCCCCCCCCCCCCCCCCGCCCCCCCTCGCACTGGCCCAGGGTGCGCTGGGGGCGGCCCCCCGGGCCGGGCCCCCCCGCCCCCCCCCCCCCGGGCTGCTGGGACGAGATGGTGCGGAAGATGTGGTTCCGCTTGCGCAGGAAGTCGCCGCCCCCCCCCGCGGCGCCCAGCGCGAAGCTGCCCTTACGCAGGACCATGCGGGCGCTGGGGGGCTTGGCGGGCCGGGACCTCTGGCTGTACTCCAGCTGGGACAGGTGGGACGCATAGCCCTCCGATATGAACTGGAACACACGCAGAGGCAGGGGGTTTAAAAAACACCGAAAACATACAGAAATGTCTCATAAATAAGAGGTAAGGAGATAGACTTTGAACACAAAATGATGTGGATCATTTAAAGTAAACTCAGCTCAATGATCGCAATCGTAGTTTTCCATTTAAAACAAATAAGATGGAAGATAATATCCCATTTACTCAGTAGATTACATTTTTAAACCATCTAAGCCATCTCTAAAATTTGGTTTAGGTATCTAATACTAAAAGAAAGCATTATTTTCCTTTCTTTTTTACTCAATTTAAAGTGATTAATTCTTGTTATTATTGACTGAATTAAATGACTACCTAATTACTTAATTTTTTTGTTATTGTGGAGGTTAAAGGATTAAATGTCACAAAAAAATTCAAGTCTGCAAAAACTCGCCACAAAAGACGCGACAATACTCCAAAAAACAGCCCAAAAGCTCCAAACTTTTGTTAGATTTAAAAAAATAAACTGCTAAACAACTACTTCCTTTTCATTTCTGCGATTTCTATTTGAAAGGCAGTCATTTAACATTTTTACCAGAGGCTGAAAAAAACCCACAAAATTCTAAAATAACAAAAAAGAATCTGCTTTTTTTCTGACTGATTCTTTTCCACTGGATAACATCACAGAGTTCCCAGCTCTTCTGGATCTTATCCCGGGGGCTGTGAGGCCTCACCTGACACTGGTGCTGCATCTTCTTGGTGGGCCGTCCCACGATGTATATCTGGGCGGGGGGCAGGCCGATGGACGAGTACACCGAGATGTCTTTGTTGGAGCCGTAGGCCGCGAAAATCCTCATCTGCGCCTGGTTTAAAACACAGCAGAGTCAGAGGATGGGGGGGGGTCAGTGTTTTGGGGCGGGCGGCGGGTGGGTGCCCGGGGGGGGGGCGTCCGGTACCTCGCCGATGAGCGACTTGAGGAAGTTGGCCTTGTGGCGCAGCGGGTCGTGCACCAGCCCGTCGCAGAAGGACACCACGCCGTGCGGGAAGTTGTGCTGCGAGAGCCACGCCACCACGCGCTGCTTCTGCATGTCGGGCCGGCCCGACACGTACACGATCAGGTAGCCCAGGTCCTGCCAGAACCTGCAGGGGGGGGGGGGGGGGTCAGTCTGTAGAGACTCCTCCCACCCAGATGCACCACCGGAAATCCCTCCTGCCTGTGCTCATCAACCTGTGCAACGCCTCCCTCTGAGAGTCACACTTAACCTCCTGAGACCCTGTGTCCTCATAAGAGGACGTTGCATTTTTGTCTCTCTTTACCATGATACTTCTTTTTTTCTTTATCAGCTTTGACCTCTTGACCTCATAGCAGATGCTATCAGACACTGTTTGAAATCTAAAGTAAAATGGTTTTATACATTTCCATCCAATCATGTTCTTATTGTGTAATAGAAAAACTGTAAATGAGTCAATGGGACTGTCAGAACAAAATTGTAAAAACATTTAATTAAATATGTATCTCATATATCTTTAAAAAAAAAGCTAAAATGCATGCCAAATAAAAGCTCGGGTCTCAGGAGGTTAATCACTGACACTATCCACCTCTCATTTTGACCTGTTGCTGTTTTTCATTCCAAAGCATCAAACAATATGGTTGTTCTTTTTGCAAATGTATGTTTTGTCTGTTGTCCCTTTGTCTACTTTAAGCCGTATCATTTGGTTTCACGGTCTGTTTTATGTTGTTATTATGTTGTTAACATATTGTTTTTTTATGTATATATCTAGCTATATTATATGAGGAATTTTGTATATATGT